GATGCAGCAAGTGACCGCCCATCACCACACATCACCTCCCCTGCCACGGAAGACCATAACGACAGATGGAGCCTGAAGTCATGGATTAAATGAACTCAACGGACACTTTAGAGTGATGATCCATAGACTAAGGGAATGATATCTGGAGACAGGAGAAGTGGTGGTGATCAACTGGACAATGGGGGACCTGGGCATGACGTAGATGGTGTGGAATAAGGGGTGGATAATGTCCTGGGTTTGGCCAGGACAGGGTTAATTTTCACCGGACTCCAGGAAGGGGCACAGCCGGGGGGTGGGGGCTGACCCCACCTGGCCAAACAGAGCCCAGTATTCCATGCCCTGTGACGTCACGCTGGGTGCCGGTGGGGGGGTCGTGACGGCGGGAACGGGCTCGCGGCTCGGGAGCGTGCGGCTTTGGTCTCGGTCTGTCTTTGTCGTGTTTTCTCCTTATCTGTATCGTTGTTGTTCCTGTTTCCCTCTGTTTGCTGTTCTGTTAAACTGCCCTTATCCCGACCCACCAGTTTCTGCCTGTTTCTTTCCATTCTCCTCCGCACGCTGGTGGGGGGAGGGGCGGCCACGTGGCACTTTTGTTGCCGGCGGACTTCCCAACTCAATTTTCAGCCAGATCAGCTCCCCGCCTGCTAGCACAGGCAGAAAGTGAAGCATAGCGGCAGAAAGTCTGACAGGTTTACACAGCCATAGAACCACAACATGTGAATATTCTCCTTTTTTTGGGTTCTCCTCCCAACTTTTTTTAAATCATCCTACTGACCTAGCTCACACTTCCATTCACGTAAGCTTTTTATATTCAGTTCTAACTACTGTATAACAAAATTATGGGGTTAAAAGGGACAAAAAGCAACAAGAATACCAGCTAAACTTCAGTGTTCAGTTCAAAAAGAATGTTCTTTTTGCATCAAGCTGAAATGCAAAATTTGTTAAGCACCACAACAAATGCTGATTTTCCAAAATGCAAGAGAAACCATAAAAATACTCAGGGATTAAGAGCTTAAGACAAAGAAATATTATGACTAAGTTACAAACCATATGTTTTTCACTAAAATCCCAAATTATTTAAACCTCTCTAAGCTTGCCATAGATTAGAAATAACCTTGACTATATAGCAGTAATCTTTTTGAGAGAAAACAGAAAAACATAACTTGGAGGAAAAAAAAGCCATCAAAGAGAGACTAAGTGATGAACCTGCTCGGTCAATTAATTCCGTATTATCAGCATTGCTTCTACCTGAGGCAGTCTCCCTTGAGCCAGAATGCGGTATTTTTCTTACAGGACATCCATTTCCCTAAAAATAAAGACAGAGAAAATACAAGAGTTAATTGCACACTTTTTAAAACCAAGATGTTGACGTCTTGAGCCAAGTGTTGAACCCTGTATAGACTTAGAGCCACACACCCCCAGAAAAATGGTAATATACTTCAAGAAAAACTTAAAATTCAGCTGCAAAGATCTCAACAAAAGGACTCTCCAAAACCCAAATTTTGTATCTTTTCTTCAGATTGGCTTCCGGTTCTAAATTTCTCCACTTTTAGGGCCATTAGCCACTTGCATCCCTGTGCTATACAGCAACCCAGCCCAGCTGGCTTTCCTCAAACAAGTAATCAGAAATTTTGTAACAAAATGACAGAAAGCCAGACAAGTGAATACAGAGGGAGGAGTGCTAAGGAGAAAAGGAAACACAAGCTAAACTATCTTTTTTGTTCCTTTCATAACACATTATGAATGCACACAAAATGATCTCCCTCGCTAGTAACCAGCAACCTTTTAAAGTGTTTTCTTGGTCAGTCAAAAAGTGAATATAACTCAACATGTAATGAACTACCAAGTTAATAGGACCACTCCCACCTCTATCTAAATACTGTGGCTTAAATGCATAAATCTGAACTGCTATTAACTGCAGCTTCTGACTAGCAGAAGTTTGCCAGGCTGCTCCCTACACTACACTGTAAGAAAACACAAGGTTATAAGATATTTAAGATAATCAAGACATTTTTTCTAAGAAATACTATTTAAGGTTACAATCTCCATTGCACTTCCATGCTTGCATCTAACCCAGAATACCTTCCCTGCTTCTAAACCAGGATTTCTCATTTATTGTAAAATGGTTAAGAACCGGCTTACCCAAGCACGACCTCAAATTTACAAAGGAATAGCAAAAGAGCATAAACTTTTGTTACATCTGAAAAAGGCAGCACCAAGAATCGCATCCTATGTTGAAAAAGGAAAAAAAAAATAAAAGAAATACATGCATAATAGGTCACCGATTTCCACATTTAACAACCCTTTCAAACACACCTGATGTGATAGACTTGTTCCTGAGAATGTCTTTACAGGATGTGGCTTAGATTGTTTCACCCTATGTTTCTTCCGCTTCCTTTCTCTGCGGAGAGCTTCCAGTGACAACCTGAATTCAGAGTCAGTTGGAGTGCAGGGCAATTTCATGGGAAGCCCTGAATTTTGGCACAGAGAAGTGTTGTTTGCCGTGACATTATTTCTAGGACAAGCTTTTTGAGTATCAGCTTCTGATGATGAAACCCATTTGTCAGAGTCTGAACTAGTGTCTTCTAGATCTATACAGTCAGTCTTCTGTTCCCAAGTATTTCCCCAAGACAATGGTGCTCTTGTTACACCCAGACACTTCTCGTTTCTTCCCTGTTCTGACTTGACAGTTTTATCCTTCTTGGCCACGAAACAGCTGCGAGACCCCGAGGTAAGGAAGAGTTTTTGAATCACAACTTTTGGGTACACTGAACCCAGTGACTTGCATGCTCTGCCATTCTCCAAAATGTTTACACTGTCCATTTTCTCCTTAATTCCTCTCCGAAAGGCATCTACCACAGGACTTGTGTTTGGTGTATGGTCTGGCATCTTTTTTCTTCTGACCTTCTTTGGGGAAGATACTTTCTTTTCAAAACGTTCAGCACATAAAACTGACGGTCCAGTTCCTGCATCTTTCACATTTCCTCTGTCTGGTGAACACAACACAGTTCTGTCTTTATGGCCAAGGTGTAAGAGAGAAAAGACAAGACAAATTATTCACAATATTGGAAAAAAATAATCTTATTGGACTGTATTACTTGACATTTTATCTCTTACATGCAATCCGAAACAAATTTACTTAATCATTTACTTTCCCTAGTGCCATGCAATTTATTTCAGACCAAAGAATCGCATGATCTGTGTCACAGCTTCAGTTGTTACAATCTAGCTTAAGCATGACACAATAACTTGAAATTACAACATTATTTAAAGAAATTAATTTCAATAGGAAATTAACATTTTCATTTATATTATTAGAAAAAAATTTTAATGTGCGCATTTTGACATTTTTGGTGAACTACACTCATATTGCCACTCCAATCTGGAATCAGATTGGACTATACTTCTGCACACATATAAATAAAACTCATAAATATCTTCCATTTTAAAAACACATATTTACCTTGGTTTAAAACTGGTTTGAAGAACTCTGTAATGGTCTGGTTTCTGAAGAGAAAACAAAACTTTATCTTTTAAAAAGAACAATACCTAAATACCCATAGAGTGAATACTGATAAAATTAAAAATATATGTTTAAAAATAAATTACAGCATTTTAATTCCAGCAGCTCTTATTTCTAGTAGCTCTTTCTGACAGATCAGAGAAAGCACCATGATCCTCATCGCCTTCTAGCCTTCACTCTGCTTGGCTAACGAAGCCAACCTGTCAGTTTCCTTGCTTAAACTGTTTCCTTTATCATCTAGTAAGTCTTCATCATCCTTCCAGCTTCAATTAAGCTTTCTTAAATGGGACAGAACTCACCTGTACCCAGTATTCCAGATAAGACCTCACCAGGTGATGGTGTTAGCAACCTTCCCGTCTCCACTGTCAACACTCTGAGCCAGTAACTCCTGTTATAATTGGTTTTTTAAGGTGTTATAGTGGTAAGCAGTTGGCTTTATCAATACCATTAATGACCAAACCCCCTCCAAGGCCTTATTAGTTGCAATCAAGTCTAGCCACACAGTTCTAGCTGCAAGCTGTAAAGTTCAACAAATCCTGTAACTTCCTTCTTGTTATCCAAAACCCTTTGTGCACCACTGTTCATTGGGGTTTTTTTCCACACATCTGGTGCCAGGCTGGGATGCAAATTCCTATCTGTGCCAGTGGCACCCCTCCCAGCACACATTACAGGCATCTTCAGGCTTCCAACAGAAACAGCAGTCTACAACCAGCTTGTTTTTACACATACACTATAAAATTCTTAATAGCTTTAAATCAGAGGTATTTTCTCTGGCAGAAATAAGTGGTGTTCTCACATGCCAAGGCATTTCTCCATGAGAGAATGTCACTTTAAAAATGGGCAGATTGTCTGAATAACATACAATTTGAACATTAAAATACATCAAGAACTATGAACTTGCTATCTTCATCTTTTCCCACATTAGCAAGGAAGTTTACTAACGACTTCAAGGCTACACTTATGCCTGTTATGGGATTTTCAGGTTCCAACAAGACATCAGTGCGAGAAAGCCAGAATAACACAGATTTGTTTAAGACCTTCTTCCATCTTTTGTAATCTTTCTGTGCCTTCCAAAACAAAGCTATGTCATTACTGTTTGGCTGATAGTGATTACAAAGGCAAAACTTTTTTATTCCAGATTCTAAGCTAACATATTCAAGCATCCATACACGACTATGCTTTCACAGACTCAAAAACCATTTTTGAACTTCAGGCCAGAAAAACCCACTGCTAACTTGTTCAAACTACATTTGGATTTAATCTCCAATCTTTCCATAAACTTGTTACTTTCACTTTCACAGTTTCTAACATGGCTTCTGCATTTCTAGCACCTACGCAAATACAAAAAGCTGTTTATAATGCATTCATACTTCTGTCAAGCAGTGATGTTTGAGTATACTGTAAGTCAGTATGAATCCACCTGTAATCGGAATATGTGTGTGCATAAAACTTTTTGGCTTACCAAAGAGAGCAGAAAACTACTTCTCAAAGACTACTTGCCTCCAACCTGTCCCAGCTTAATTTGACATAGGCCAAAATACACCCGTTCTTCCCACATGCTGAAGCAACAGGGTCCCCAACTTTCAGTCCAAAAGAAGATGCAAAACGCTAAGTCGCAGGTTTATTCGCTGCTATTGCCGTTGCCAACTGATTTGTCCTTCCGCCCTAGACCACCTCCCACTCCTGCACCCCAAGCTCACCCTCTCGGCGCAAGGCTCTTTCCACCTTGCATTCCTCAGGACACTCCCAATGCTCCCCTGTGACTGCTCTCGCAGCTGCAAAATCGTCCTGTGTCCACAGCTTCCTGCACTGCAGATCTTTCCAAAACCCTTCTATTTTCCTGACTAAGCAACTGTACTTCTCCCTTCCAGGTCAGAGCCCCATCTGCAACACCAACCACTGTTGGCAGTCCAAATCTCATCTCCAAGTTACCTCTCAGGCTCCTCGCTGCGCTTGAATCTTGAAGACAAGCCAAAACCAAAGCCTTCTGCTGTCTTCTTCCTTCCTTCCACAGCCAGTGATTTCAAATGACTGCTTACCTCCCTCCCACATCCGCTATCGCATTGTTATATCTTTTTGCTGCCTTTCACTCTTAATGCAAGTGCTTTGTAACAAAGTTCATGTTTGTTCCATAATTATACAAAGCCTTATATAGCATAACTGAGAAAATACAGGCATTGCCACTAAAAAAAATAATATTTTTTTTTTTCTTTTTTCTTCCTGGGATAAAAGTTGAACTTGAATGGAGAGTGATTTGTCTTCGACTATTTATTTTGTAGTGCTTATCCACTGCATTTTCTACTTTGCATTCTACTGCTTTTCGGAAGAACAAGGGATAGGAACTGCCCAACTAAACCAGAATAATAATTGCTCAAGCACTGTATTGTATCTCAGACAAGGAAGTGTGCTAGAAACTTCAACAAAACCAAGGGTGAAAAAAAAAGAGAAAGCATGTGACCAAGGGTGAAAAAAAAGCATGTGATACAGTACAAGGAGGGACAAGAGAAAGCACTGGGCTTTCCAACTTGCTTTTCGTATATATGAAAATACAAAAAGAACATGTGATTTTCTATGTGAATAGGAATGAACAGGACCATAACTGTTCACGGACCATTCATAGGAGGATTTCCACTATTGTTTTTAGAGGTCAAGTAACCAGCCCTAAAAGAATGAAGAACTGATAAAGCAACAATAATTACTGGTTTTCCACTCTTTTTTTACCTGACATTAAAGTCACAGTTGTTTAATGTATCTTTGTCAAGAAGTATGTACCTCAGGTTAAGGCTTTTCACAAAACATATACATTCAACAAAACATATTTATCCCCACTAAAAATTCTTTCATCATTTTTTGTGAAATCTCATCTTAACTGAGACATCAGGGAGATCACTAAAAAAACCCAGATAAGAAAAGGCAAAACTCTTAAATATACGATCTCACTTGACAACAAAAAAAAGGTACACAGACAGGAGATGCACCCAACAGACCTTTCAGGTCTTTCAAAATTAAGAGCACAACCTGCATGAAAGAGGGAGGGATGAAATTCTTTCACGTGTTTATAAAGACAACGCCCTGAGTATTCTTTAAATGCAATTAGTGTTTACAGCCATACCAGCGGTTATGTCTGATTGGATAAAACCCGTACTTTTAAAGATGTGCTGGAAACAGTAGCAATAGCTCAGAGAAAGTAAAGCAACACAACATGGGAATAAAGTACAAAATGTTACTACAGCTTTGACAAGACAGAACATCTTGAAAAGCAGTGTAGAAATAACAAAAAAAAAAAAACCAACAAAACAACCCAGAACAGAAAGTCAGACATAACACCTTACAACAGCCTTTCAAATGACCGCAGCAAAACCAAAACACAGAATAGTTTCACTTTCTTGAGCAAGGAGCAACAGACAACTTTTATCTTCTCTTATCTTCTCCCTTTCCTTCACATGTCAGTGCTATCAAAAAAGACAACCAGCAGAAATGAACAAAATCTGCTGCTGCTGGCATAAGAAAATTATGACTTGCCTCATACTGCAAGAAACAAAAACTCGTCAGCCTCTGAAAAATATCATCAAGCCTTTGGCAGCATTTGGGTTTCTAGTTGGTAGACAGGTTCAACACGCTTAAAAACTGTCTCCGACGGCCACTGCCTTGTCCTCCAGTCCCGTCAGTGGCATGGTCCACAGCTGGAACAAGCTCGAGGGCCAGGTCAATGACAACTCTTCAGAGCCGAGCTGCTGAAGCCTGCCTAGCTCTGGAGGAGGACCTGTCAACAAACACCGAGGGACAAGCCGGGAGGACGCACGGGCACCCGCGGGAGGACTCGTGCTTTCTGAAAGGCGCGCTGCAGGCGCCAGTCAGTGCTGGGCCAGGCATCTCCTCCGCTGTCTCTGCAGGCCATCAGCTTGCCTGGCTCGCAGGCGCCTTCCACCGTGGCCAACGAACTACAGGGAAACAAGGGCCAGCGCCTCTAAGCCGGTGCGAGCACGGGTGAGGAGGGCACATCCCGCTCTGCCGGGACTGAAGGGCCGGAGCCGGGAAGGCCCCA